GGTCAAAAGCAGATTGTTACATATATCAGAGTTGTATCAGCGTTAGGACGTGTAAAGAGAAGCCTTGAGCAACACATATTAATGTTGACTTCATTTATGTAATATCTAGAGTAGATATGTGTTTGTTTACTCTGGTCTATTTAATGTTCAGTCATTTTCCTCAATCGGGGCAGTCGATTTCGGACGGCTGCCGGGTGGTATTGGTATCGGTTCTGTTATTCATTGTAATTGTGCACATTTACTAATGAATAAACTCACACTTTGTTTGGAATTACAGCTCTGGGTTGTTTACATTATTTTACTCTTGTTATGTGCAGAATTTCCACAACACCATCATACTGACTGCATATGTCCTTATAGTACTTTCTAATGTACTTCTCTCCTTTACCATATGTTTAAACAGGACTCTGCATGAACCCATGTACATACTCCTCTGCAGTTTATTTATGAATGAACTTTACGGCAGCACCGCGTTGTTCCCGATGCTTCTGTTTGAGATCAGCCGGGACGTGCACACCATCGCTGCTTCTTTCTGCTTTCTACAAATCTTCTTCATTCAATCTTACGTCTGTATTGAGTTTGTGATCCTCGCTGTTATTTCCTATGATAGATATCTGTCCATCTGCTTTCCTTTGCAGTATAGTGGGTGGATGAATTCAAGAAAAGTGATCATTTTGGTCTCGCTTCCCTGGTTGTATTCCCTTGTTGTAATTCTCACACCCATTTTCCTTACTATGAATTTGAAACTGTGTGAACATGTAATCTTTAAATTGTATTGCAATAATTACTCTATTGTCAAAATGGCTTGCTCTGACACGTCTATTAACAACATATATGGTCTAATATTTATTTATTTTTATTGTATTTATTTATTTATTTGACAGGGACAGTACAAAAAAAACATTGTCACCCACAGGTAACCGATGTGAAGTACACAAGGCTTCTAGCCAAAGGCTAATTTGCAGCCCCCGTCCCTGGTTAAGCTTTAGGAGAAAGCGAAGAAACAAGTTTTTAAAAAAGGGGGAGAAAAGAACAACCACACATCAATAAAAAGAAAGCTCTGAGCACTTGCACTCCTCATCTGGCCTCCATCATAAACTTTTCATTTGGAGTGATTTTCGAGGTCTTAGGAAGTCGATTTAACCTGGAGTCAATACACAGTGTGTTCAGAATATTCCTCTCTATGTATTTTCTCTTAATTCCGCTGCTGTTTAACCCATTAATATATGGATTTAAACTCACTAAGGTCAGAGAACTGTGTAAGAAAATGTTGTGTTCTGCTCCCAGTCACATGTGAACTCAATAAAGTAGAAAAGCAAACTCAATTCAGTCGTTCATTGCATGTACTGTAAAGGTCAGGGGTGTCCAAACTTTTTAGTTAGAGGCCACTTTACCAGACTAGTCCAGGGGCCGACGTCACGGACTGAAAAACTGTCTTGACTGGCATCGGGCTGTTCTGAGATTTATGATGATCTATAACAGAGCTGAAGTTGGCTGAATGACAAATGTTTACCAGCTACAATAGCACCATTTATGGAAGTGACACCATCAAATGTCAGTACAGTTTGTGCATAGAACAAGGTTGATATTGGCTGAGCTGAAGTTGGATGGATCACAAAGTGAACTTGTGTTTATGATCTCAAAGACTACTTTGGGTTAGCAAACATGCCTGGTAGATGTGCTCACATGTGTACCATCTGACTAGGTTCCCAGTCAGATGGGAATATTATTATTATTATTATTATTATCATTTATTATACGGCTCCTCACAGCAGCAGGAGAACGCTCCATTGATTTGAATGTAATTTCAAAACGTTCTACCGGTCATTATTTTCTATAACGGACCTCTCAAAACAATAATGACCGCTGCCCATGGCAACGCACTCTCTGCTTGTATTTCAAATGCGTGGATAACTCCGCAAGTAGTTCCGGCCACTCCTGAGCTAGCCACGCTCAATCAACACACTTAAATGTTAATCGGAGAATACTTATACATATACATTCTTCACACACGTGCACGGAAATTTTCAGAATTTTCTGGTCTTGTCTTCATGACAAAAATACTATTTCTCTGCGTCAAAAAGCGATCGTGAAAAACCCGGAAGTAGTTTTGGCCGCTCAATAAACGCAAATGCCAATCAATCAACGCAATGAAATGTTTATCGGAGAGTGAATAATACATATCCAGTCTTAATACAAGTGCACGGAAGTTTTCAGAATTTTCCGTTTACGTTTTCATGACAAAAACACTGATGTAATGCGAGAAAAGGCGATCCCGAAAAACCCGGAAGTAGATACCGGCACATTTTAAGATACCGGCACATTTTCGGACACATTTGCAGAGGATCGAATTATGGATTTAGGTTAGGTTTATGTATGGGTCACTCACCGCTGATGTTCAGAATTCTTTGTTCAGTTTTATGCAGTTCCAGAGAGTTCTAGTTTGGAAGTTGCCAGCCTAACTGTTGCTAGCATAGCCACAATTGTCAAAGCCACACTGCCTGCCCGCGGCTGCCGAGCAACGGGAAAACTTTTTGGGACTACTTTATTTGTTGTCATTAAATAAACTTTTGGCATTCATAAAAGTGATCTGAAGTTTATTTTGTGTGTTAAGTTGGTACAAAGCAGTATAATAAGCGGGATAATGTATAGCATACAGGTCATTATCGGAAAATAAGTACCTTAATAAGTCGGTACTTATTTTCCGATAATGACCTGTATGCTATACATTATCCCTTACATATTATAACCAATTTACAGAGATACAAATTTCATGACACAAAAATTAAACCATTTCCAACACTGGGTGTAACTCAGAGTAACTCAGTGAAACAAAGAAGTGTGAATAGGACCACATATAACCACCTGAGTTTATTTTATTATTATTTCTACACCACTTTTACCATCTGCTGGTCCTGGGGCCTGTTGTTTCAGCCCTAATCTCAAAATCATGATTGTAAGAATAAATGCAATTATTAATTAAAAAGAGATCTGCATAAAACATTGCCAGTTTCATATACATTTTGTGGTCAGCGGGTGGGATTCTTCCACGGAACAAGAATTGTATTTGCCTGATTAGATTTTCTAACTTCTGTCTAGTCTGGTCTTTTTGTTTTGTATTTTTTGTGTTGTCACTAATGGCACGTCGGTAGCTTTATGACAGGGCCCTGGCTTGGTCTCTCCTCTAGTTTGACGGCCGGTGGCGGCAAAGCAAAGACCCTGTGCATCCTAATTTTTTAGAGATAAGAGGGAAAGGGGAAAGCGGGGGAGGGGAATGGAGAGGTGGGTTTTTGGGCTATTGATAGGTTCTGGGTGTTGGACGAGGGGAGGGGGATGGGTTTTTGGTGATGGGTTAGCGGAGAGGCAGTCAAGTATCTGTTATGCAAAATAGTAAGTAATCTTTATTTATATACCGCCTTTCACAGACCAGAGTCACAAAGCGGTTTACAATTGTTATTATTGTTGTCTTCTCACTCCACACAGAGATGGAGCTCGCGAAGGTTCACTCTGGAAGACTGATTGCCAAAGCCATCCGCTCCAAGCCTGCCTCTCATCCTCGGCCTATCGCACAGCAAACGCCCATTCCCAGCCAACCTATGCAGGCCAGGCAAGCAGCTTAAAAGCGGAGACTCCCACTTCACGGCCTTCTCAAGCCTCGCAAAGAGTCGTTCTGGAGGAATCGCTTTCGTCTACTCGCGCTGGCTCGTTGTGCGTGTCCCTGCTGTCCTGTCTTGCTGCGTGTGGTCTGCTCCTCCTCCGCGTCGCTGCACCTGCTGCGGGTCTCGTGCTGTGGTCCGTGGGTCTTTGCTGCTCTCCTCTTTTGCGGGCTCTTCCTGCGGGTTCGCTGCTGCTCGTCTCGTCGCGGCCGCTGCTGCACGCGGCCGGTCTGGACCGGTGCGATGGGGCGTGCGCATCCCTGCCTCCTCGTGCCGGTACGGCATGGTACTGTTGCTGACCTGCGGACGGTTTATTCCCCTCGCATTGTACTGCAGGCTCGGTTTTGGCCCCGCACTTTGTACTACAGGCTCAGTTGGCCCCGCGCATTGGTGTGCAAGCTCTCAGTTTAAATCCCTCACATTGGACTGCAGGCTCTCAGTTTAAATCCCTCGCATTGGACTGCAGGCTCTCAGTTTAAATCCCTCGCTTGGTCTGCAAGCTCTCAGTTTAAATCCCTCACATTGGACTGCAGGCTCTCTTTAAATCCCTCACTTGGACTGCAGGCTCTCTTTAAATCCCTCACTTGGACTGAAAGCTCTGTTTAAATCCCTCTCATTGGACTGCAAGCTCTCAGATTAAATCCTTCACTTCGGACTGCAAGCTCAGTTTAGCTCAGCTCAGTGCTGTTTTGACCCAGCGCACCGGGCTGCAGGCTGGCTGCTTTTGACCCCGCGCTCTGGACTGCAGGCGGAGTGTTGATGCCAGGCAAGCAGCTTAAAAGCGGAGACTCCCACTTCACGGCCTTCTCAAGCCTCGCAAACCACCGCCTCCCCTCCTCTCTCTCCTTGCTCTAGCGTGCGCTCTTTCCTGCTGCCCTAATGCCACCACCAGTTCCTAGGCCTCGGGGGGATTGTGCGCGCACTCAGCAGGAGCCTCGCTGGCCCTAATTGCCGCACGGGGGCCTAGGACGCCAAACTACCTATCAATAAAAACATTCAAACTGCATTTTGTCTTCTGAGTCTCTCCAGATTGAAATGGAAGCGAGCTCGCCGAACAGGAGGCGCATGCCAGATCTATTGTACATATTTTTGGTGGTAGGGGAAACCGGAGTACCCGGAGGAAACCTACGCAGACACGGGGAGAACATGCAAACTCCACTCAGAAACGCCCTTGTCCGACCGGGATTCGAACCCAGGACCTTCTTGCTGAGAGGCGAGAGTGCTATCCACTCAGCCACCGTGCCGCCCGGTGACCATGCCACCCTTTCTTGTCCCAAAAATAGCAGACAGGAATGGGTACCAGTATTCGTACCGGTGCTTGTATTGGTGGAGATGGATAAGATTCTAGGGGCCAATACCAACTGCACCTGAATGGAGAGGGATTAGCAGTGAAAGCACATAGCTCTATATTCTTACACACTTAAATCCTGCGCTAAGTTATCATTCCAAACACCAAAAACAAAAAGAACTGATGAAAGCTGCTATTTGGAAACTCTAGTAAGGCCTCTTCCCCTCTGGATTACTCTGTTGTAAATATTAACCCCCGTTTAATTTTAAAGCAAGTATATATTTTTTGAAGCCTCCAAACATGTTTAGCTTTAGAAAACAACATCAGGACACGTTTTGTAGCTGCGTGTGATGTAAGCTACGTAACTAGATTTTGATTGACGCTGTCAATAAAACTAATTTTGACACATAGTTTCACCCTTAGCGGTTTCCATGAATAACTATCACGCAAAAAGAAATTTGCTGAAAAATTGCTTTTGGGCTTTGTTGATATGCATTTGTAAGCAATAACGTTGTATACGGACTTTTAAACAGATATTTGTTATTTAGTGAGGGACAATACAAGGCGAGGGCTCTTTTTGAGGCAGGGCCTCGCATTTCAAGTTCGCACAGGGCCTCGCACACCCTTGTGACGGGCCTCTCTGAATTCATTCATTTATTTTAGGACTTACGGAAGAGAAACTGGTTTGTGTTCTCCTCTAGTCAGTGAGACACAGATCTGACCTAACGGCAGCATGTAGATATTGAACAGAGGCCCTAAGAGTGACCCCTGAGGCGCTCCAAAGGTCAGGGCCATAGAATCTGAGACACTGATTCTATTATCACTGATTCATTCTTGTCATCTAGATACAACTTTAAACAACTTTGGGCAGTTCCAGCGACTCCCAAAACTACATTTGCGTACATATACTATATTAGTATTAAGTGACTGCAGTAGATACCCGTAAATATACTTTATTTTACAAGCTCTGAAAAATGTACTGATAATAGTATCAGCAAATACTTCAGATAACGTACTCTTACTGGTATCTTTGACCTGCTCCTCTCCCTCCTTGACCTGCTCCTCTCCCTCTTTGACCTGCTCCTCTCCCTCCTTGACCTGCTCCTCTCCCTCTTTGACCTGCTCCTCTCCCTCTTTGACCTGCTCCTCTCCCTCCTTGACCTGCTCCTCTCCCTCTTTGACCTGCTCCTCTCCCTCCTTGACCTCCTCCTCTCCCTCCTTGACCTGCTCCTCTCTCTCTTTGACCTGCTCCTCTCCCTCTTTGACCTGCTCCTCTCTCTCTTTGACCTGCTCCTCTCTCTCCTTGACCTGCTCCTCTCCCTCTTTGACCTGCTCCTCTCCCTCCTTGACCTGCTCCTCTCCCTCTTTGACCTGCTCCTCTCCCTCCTTGACCTGCTCCTCTCCCTTTCTTTGACCTGCTCCTCTCCCTCCTTGACCTCCTCCTCTCCCTCCTTGACCTGCTCCTCTCTCTCTTTGACCTGCTCCTCTCTCTCTTTGACCTGCTCCTCTCTCTCTTTGACCTGCTTCTCTCTCTCTTTGACCTGCTCCTCTCTCTCTTTGACCTGCTCCTCTCTCTCTTTGACCTGCTCCTCTCTCTCTTTGACCTGCTCCTCTCTCTCTTTGACCTGCTCCTCTCTCTCTTTGACCTTCTGTTTTAGCAAAGGCAACATGTAGGCCGTCTGCTGAGGCAGAAATTGCGTTGTTTCGTTCCAAGCTCGGGGCACTAAAATCTGAGCGGATCATGTGATAGCTTGTCTAACATACAGAACATAACCAAAGGTTCTCCATTCGAATTCCAGCAGTTATTGTACAGTTTGAAATCTTACGCCGGACTATTTCTCGTGTAAGGAGACGAAAAAGGTTGTAAACCGTCACTGCTCAGCCAATATGAGACGCGTATTATCGAGCATTTCCGGGAAAATCACTACGCGGTATGTCAACAAACACGGCGTGCGAGGCTTGTTGTGGATCACTACCGTCGTTGTCTGAGGCAGATATGGATGTTTTGCCGCTTTTGAAATGCATCGTGTACATAGAACCAGCCACAACAAACCTCTGTGAGAAACTGCCGGAAGCTATGGTGGGACACCTGCCGACGATGCGCCCGGGATTGGGACGAGACAAGCGTAGGGAGTCGGGAGTCCGAAATAGTTGGTGTGTGCCTCCCACAATCCACAATCTCTCCCATGACTCGCAGAAAAGGACATCCACACACGTGTTGCCCCTCATCAGTTTGATTTGCAAATGACTCGTCAGGGCAAGAGGGTGCAAGACAAACTCATCCAGGCAGAAACTGAAAGTGCAGGTAAGCCTATGATGTTGATGTTTTCAAAACATATTACACTAAGTTTCAATTGATTCTGTTTGGTGTTCTTGTGATATACAAGGTTGGGAGGGGCCTACCTACAACCCAACTACACAAATAACAGTACAGCTAAGTCCAAGATTGATAGACCAGCTAGCTACTCTAATTACAACTAACTATGACTAGTTTAACCCTGTTTAAGTTTGACACAGGTCAAAAGATATTTAAAAAGTTATGTGATAGAAAAGGATGAGAGAACATGACATCATGATGTAATTGTGTGTGTGTGTGTGGTTGTATATATGCGGAAGCTTCTATCATGGCAAGGCAAGTTTATGTATAGCACAATTCATACACAAGGCAACTCAAAGTGCTGGACAAAATAAGAAAGCATTAAAATCATAATCACAGTACATTAAAAAGAAAGATGCAATAAATAAATTTTATATATAAAATATCATCCCCCTTTCAAACCAAGCAGACTTTGTATTTATGTTTTCCTGTCTGTATACACCATGGATGTATTATATTAACTGGATAGGGTATTACTAGCTTGTAGCTGAATAACTCATGTGCTCAGGGGATTCTCGCGGTACTGCAGACTGAACCAGACTAAATTCACGTGGGCTACCCAGAAATTTTCCCCATAGAACTCAATGCATATTAAAACAGCTCAACCTCAGCTGACAGAGAACCTACAGCTGTAATAAAGATCGGATTTTGTGGGGATTTTAGTGTCCCTTGTCATCCTGAACTTTTTTTCTTCTTAAATCCTTTGGTTTTGTTTAAATCCACACTTTACTGCCACAAACTCTACTCCTCTGGCTCTCGCTCTAACTCCCGCTCTGATGAACTGCTCTGATTGGTCAGAGCGCGGCCGAGCCCCTCTGTGCACGTGCGTGAGACCCGGTGTGAGACCCACACACGCGTGTTTGGCGCAACGCATTATGGGAGATCATCCACTGCGCAGAACCGGGAGGACCAGACGATGCCCAAATACAGGCGAGTTTCCCATAGATCTTTGCGAGTTTCAGGCAACTTCCGCTAATCTTTCAGCCCCCATGCTGTCACAAAGCACCACTGAGCACAACCATTCATTTGAATAGGGCGCCATCTTGGATTGCCGGGGCTTGGTATACACCTGCAGGCTTGAAATAAATGAAATGAAAATTACATATTCAATACAAATAGGCCTTTTATGAAAGTCTGCTTCGATGTCGGCTCTTCCTATCACTGTGAAGCAGAACTCGCCAAGCGTTGGAATGTTCACCCACTAACAGGGAACGTGAGCTGGGTTTAGACCGTTGTGAGACAGGTTAGTTTTACTGATGAGGTGCAATAGTAACTCTGCGATCATTTATTTAGGCAGAGTAATTATCCATATTATTATTGCACAGCTGTGATGACTGCATACTAGCATCATATTATTATTAGCAGACATACTTATACACTGTAGATCCATGTGGTGTCTTCATTGACTTACTCCTCTGTTTAGTTGCGACTTATGATGGGATGAAATAATTCTTAACATTTTAACTTGTCATTTCCAGATCTACTCTGAAGCAGCTGAGGACAAAAGTGATGAGCACATTTTCCATCACATCCGGGACAAAGATTGTGTAGCCATGGAGGTGAAATATCAGTCCTGTTATCGGGAGTACACAGGATTCCTCAGCAAGGAGGAGAAATATACGGAAAGGTAAATAAGTTCAAATCAAAATGTGATATGAATAGGCTCAAATTATTGAAAGGAATTCACAGCCATCTACTGAAGTAAAATCATCCAAACGGAGCGTTTGAGGACATCAGATTTGTAGCATACAAATATTGTCTACATTCCCACTTACCAGTACTCATTTTGAAATCATGATCATTGTGTATCAAAGAAGTCTGGATATTGTTGGCATCAAGGGTGAATGCAACAACGAATGAAATCCTGGATGGCAGAAAACTTTCTCCAGCTCAACCAGGACAAAACTGAGGTTTTAGTCATCGGTCCTGAGGCCCAGAGAGAGAAACTTTTATCAAAACTCCAATCATACTCTTTTAATCCATCATCACAAGTGAAAAACCTGGGCGTAATCTTTGACTCTGAGCTGACTTTTATTCCTCACATCAAGAGTATCACAAAAATAGGTTTTTATCATTTAAAGAACATCGCCAGAGTCCGCCCCATTCTCTCTCGGGGCAACACGGAGACGCTGATGCTTTTATCACCAGTCGCATTGACTACTGTAATGCCCTGCTCTCTGGTCCAACCAAACTGTAAAGCACTTTGTGTTGCATCTTTTGTACTTTTAGAGTGTCATCAGATACACTATAGTGAAGCTAAAACCAGTCTCGAAAAGTAGTGCCCAAGTTATGGAACGGAAATTGATTTCTAGCCACTTATTTGGACTCAGCTGACGGCCTATAAATTAGGAAAATGAAACAGCACCGTTCAAACCATAGATTGTAAATATAATTAAACAAAAAGTAGTGAATTACCTCAGAAGTGAAGACGTGTGCAGGTAGCTATCGTGGCTACAGGCTACAGCAGCGATGGCAGTAAACAAACAACCATAGAAGGAGGAGGCGCAGAAGCAGCGTAACTTCGTCACCACGGACCATGAAGCCCTGCGGCTGCCTGATCACTGCCCGACGTACGACAGCTGACGCATGCGCAAATCATTCAGTGACTCCGAGTCTCTGCCCAGAAAGCGTTTTGTTCTCAATTTTCTTGTGGGCAAGACCACTCTCGGCCATCTTGGATAGCTCCATGAGAGCACTATTTTTGGCCCACTCCTTTGAACGGCAGGTTGAACAGGTTTTAAAGACAAGCACACAACATGCAGTAGTTCTGTGTGTGTATGGTCTGACCGCGGCGCCATTCGCTCACAGCCGCCAACAACAACCAGAGCGGCCGCAGCTGCCCCCGGTGTGTGCCCCGGGAGGCGGACTTCAGTTCACAGCAAACAACAGCCCCACGGTCACGCGCATATTCTTTTATGGCTTTAAAAGATTTTTACAGCTGCTCCATGTGAAAAAACATGTTAACTAATAACAAATGTAACCTTTTTAAGAATATTTACCTCCACCATGTTTTTTTAATTGTATTCATAGGCTTAGAATTATTTATAAGTGTCCATGTGAGAGGAGGACTATCCGTGTAAATGCGCCATCTTGAAAACCGGTGGTGGATAAGGACAAAAAGCGAGAAACGCGTTTTCGTTTCACATAAGCTACTGATATTGATTTCACCGTGCCTTCACAATTTGGAAGAAGGAACCATGGAGGACCACAGTTATATAAAAGAACCACAGAGGACCACAGTTATGTAAAAGAACCACAGAGGACCACAGTTATATAAAAGAACCACAGAGGACCACAGTTATGGAAAAGAACGATCGGAACAACAATCTTTTAGATAAATAATTATGTAGAAGTCCGTTGTCATAGCAGCAAAGTGTCAACACAAACCACACGCACAAAGACGGCGTTAACAACAGGAGGTACATCGTGTATTTTGTACACAACAGACTCACACGTGAACAATACGTAACTTTTTCACACTGACAATAAGTACGAGGCAGAATCTGCAACACAGTCTCAGGATGTTCTGACCCGATCCGAGCCCAGTCCAACTACTGTCACAAGCTTCAACTAAACTTATTCAGGGACAAGCATCAAATAAAACACACAGAATCCCCACAAAACGATCGCCAGAATAATGTATCAGCAGCGAGAGTGAATGTTCTGTTTTTCTTACCTGGTGATGCAGATGCGCTGTGGCTAATGCTAATGCTAACATGAGCTAATGCTAATGCTGTGGCTAACGCTAATGCTAACATGAGCTTTGCCATGTCCTGCTGCTGCTGTGTATATCTCCTGCTTCTTTGATCACCACAGTTTTAACCTCACACAGACTTTATTCCTCCATGTGTCTCTTCTCTTCACACCGCGTTTGTAAAACTATATATTATAATAGATCCATAGTTAAACTATATATTATAATAGATCCATAGTTAAACTATATATTATAATAGATCCATGGTAAAACTATATATTATAATAGATCCATAGTTAAACTATATATTATAATAGATCCATGGTAAAACTATATATTATAATAGATCCATAGTTAAACTATATATTATAATAGATCCATGGTAAAACTATATATTATAATAGATCCATAGTTAAACTATATATTATAATAGATCCATGGTAAAACTATATATTATAATAGATCCATAGTTAAACTATATATTATAATAGATCCATAGTTAAACTATATATTATAATAGATCCATAGTTAAACTATATATTATAATAGATCCATGGTTAAACTATATATTATAATAGATCCATAGTTAAACTATATAT